GATCTGTAAATCCTCGTAAACAGCTTGTAAATATAAGCAAACAAACAGGAGGAGTGAATTTCAGGTATATATGGATATTTTTCTGAGAATTTATGAACATTATATCTACCCGCACATATTGCTCGGTCTATGTTTACAACTAAGGGATGAAACACAGACTAACTACATCGTAAAATGTCCTTCAGCACATGACATTTATAAGACCAATCCTTCCATTCCACTATAATAAACAGTGCTATCCCGAGCTTTTCATGTTCGCAAATATCGTTGTGGTAGCCAAGAGTGGGAAAAAAATTTGAACAGAACACGTGGGGAATTTTCCTCCCAGGTATCATAGCCGAGGATTAATAATATCCACCAGGGCTACAAATCAATCAAAGAATGCTGATGAATTTCTACTACAGAGAAACAATAACTGTTATGCTCTTTGATAATCGCAACGATATCCCCTCTGTTACTTATAGGCAAAATACCGTAGTGTTTTGTGCAGGACAGGAACAGTGGTGTCCTCCTTAGAACAGCCATGGCACCCGTTTCCTAAGAACAGCTGCGTAATCCACATCTCGGATTAGCTACAGAAAAATACTTCAAAAACGATCAACAACTAAAGCCCACGTATTCTCTTACCAATTTCCTGATGAGCAACGTTCAGATCTCCGACATATATCACTGGTTTCTTCGAATCCAGTCCCTTGAGAAAATTGAGGTAATAAGCATCCCAGAGTTTTCGTTTTTCCAGATTTACCAGACCACGACCACTATTCGGAACATATGCATTTATAACGTAGTAATTCTCATACTCAGCAACAATAATTCGTCCTTTTCCCTTACCTTCCAGTTCACATTTATCATCAAAACCCATCATAACCTGAAAAAAAGAAAAAAAAAATTTCACTTGTCAAAAAAGGTACAGATTTGCTTTTTATTAATATTTACTTTTTATTAATAACTTTCCATAAAATCTTTACTTTTTATTAATATTTGTCAAAAAGGCTTCGACAGTCAGATTTCAAGAAGGGACGGAAGACGCTTTTTTTATAAAACTTTCTTTTCTTTAAAAACATTTTCAATAAAATTTTTCTCGAAAAAAGTTTTTGAACTTGAAATTTGAAGCCATTTTCCATCTTCCCTAGTTATGCATTTTTTGCAGCTATGCAATGCAAAAACGCATATTGTCGAGGGGTTGTCTGTGTGTGTGT